AAATCAGACACAGTGTAAGACCCAGGGGAACACCGGCGTTCGTATGAAAGGATCTGGGGGAGAAAAATGAAAATAACATTTTCTTCATCGATCATTATCAAAGCTGTAAAATAAAGTATAATCAATTACTTTTTATATGTTGTGTATGAGAATAAAGAATAAACATTTCAGCAAATAATTAACCCATGATGGGGGAGGCGGTTGATACATACTTATCCCAAGAGTATTTTTACGAAAGTGTATACAACGAACGCAACTGGAATTGAAATTCGGTTCCGAGCCATGATTCATTACATTCCAAACAAATTGATAATGCCACTAAGACGCAAGGGGCTATTGCAAGTGAAAGAGAATGAGAAGACTTTAGAAGTAATCGAAAACCCAACCTAAACAGGAAACAAGGGATAAATCTTTATTTCCTAATCAAGAGACTGGCGGGGAGGGTGAACCGGGAGAAGCATAGAAATAAATTCAACTGCAACTTTGATCTCAAGAATGCCATGCTTACGACAATTAGTACGATTTATATCGTCTTTGGTTTAGCTAAACTCCAAGGATGCTGAAAATAATGAAATCCATAGCATCTAATTTTTTAGAGACTTGGTAACCTGATATTCAAAATTCGCCAGTACTAAGATTACACTGGTCAAAAAAAAAAAAAAAAAATTGAAATACTGTCTAAACACCAAACATCTCTTTTATCTAATTTGAGGACGCTGAATCTGAAAATGACCTTACTCCTTGGTTAGCTACCATTTTTGCTGTACAGAAGTGCCACATGTTATGGAAGTAAAAGCATTTTTTTTCATGTTTTCTGTATCTATGATATTGACCGATGACACTATTTCGCAAAATAAAATCGTAGAAACCTCTCTGTTCATATTTAAACCAACAAATATTGGTCTGCTTATTGAGAAATACTATTTTTGCAATAACAATCAGACCCTAAGTCTTTAAAAATAACACTAGTGTGTATACCAAGACTACCAAAAAGTCTAGATATCATAGTGAAGAACCCATCCGAACAATTGCCATAAAGTATTTATAGAAAAGGCACAGGAAGGTTTTGGGAATGTGTCTGGAGCCGAGATGCGAGATCTGGACAAATAATATTGCTGATTCTTTGTTTGATTTTTACGGTGATAAGAAATTGCCAGTCTCGACAAATACAAAAACAGCTTTTTTTAAAAAAAAAGTCTTACTAGTTCAGTAAGTAACAATTTTAAATTTCATTTATCCCATGTCATACTCTGCCTTTAAAAGAGCCATATTAAACCTTAAATGGGGTATTGTTGCCACATCTGGATCGGATGTACCCAAATCTTAACTTTACCGCCTAGACCCAGTTACAATATCCTCCACCTTCATAAAAGCCAGGTCGGGCTTGAAATTGAGAACTGCTGCCATATATGGGCAGGAGCAGCCCAAGCTATATTTTCCAGTCTCTATCGAGTTCAAAAGTATCTACGCATCGTTGTGGGTGATGAATAGTTTCCCACTCTACAACCCCTTTCCTCGCAGACAAAAGGCTATTTTTTGGTAGTTGTTCGGGTGAACTTCATTCCTTTGTTCCACTAGTCCAGAAATTCATAGCTAGGTTCCGCCATGCCACATAGGCATGCGCATGAACGTGGGATACGTGGGAACGCATCCCCATTCCCTTCATATTCCATTTGGTAGAAGGAAGTTCCTCTCAGCCAGTATCTTCTCCGGAAATGTGGAATGGACGCTCCTGGCTACTGATCTCATATAGTAGACATCTACATAGAGAGGTTTTTGAACCTTTTATAGGATGAAATATAGTAAGAGAAAGTATAGCAAAGTCAAGAAATCCTGCAATGGTCGAAAATTTATTGGGTACATAAGAAAATTACATCAGAGAAGAAGAATAGTTTGACCTGTCATGCCGAACTTTTATATTATACTAGAAATTCCTCACAGTATTTCATATTGTTGAAGTTATCGCTAACAATTCAATTTCGCAGACCAATCGATCAAATTGGAATAAGTTGAATTGTTTGGAAAAATATTTCGACAAAAACCTTACTTCGCGGTCACGCGTAAATATGTCGCTCGGGAGCCGAATTCTAACTTTTTGAAGTGTTTGGCCAGGCAATATTGTTTGTAGTTCTTGCCAACGCAGGGAGAACTGGAAACTGGATTTTTGTACATATAAAGAAAAGATAGGCAAATAGAATATTGCATTTTTATTAAATAAATGTTTGTTATTTTAATCATTAAATTGCTTTTAAAATAGTTGGAATATTTTGTATGTTAAATAATAAACTTTTAATTTTTCCCCAAAGACAATTAATGAACATTTATTGTATTAATCTATTGATCGATCAATGTATGTTTGGTTTTAGTCAGTGTCACAGACGGAGGGACTAACGGAAGTCACAGAATTTTACATATAGATATTTATTAGCTAAATAATAAGCACGAAAGCCATATTGAAATTATTCATTGCCAGAGAATTATTAAACAGAGAATCTATTGC